AAAAAAAAAAAAAAATCCCAAGCTTATAAATTAATCCCAAGCTTCTTTGCATAAAACCCATTCATTACCGTGATTATTTTTCAAGGTTTAGGAGGTTTTAAGTATGGGTCAGCATTAAGAGCTGTTTTTCATAAACTGATTATGAAAAGTTCATAATGAAGGCTTACAAAAACCATTTACCTCTTTCTCATTGTCTGAAGACTATTAATGATCTATATTTATTATTTCAGATTTTCTTAATTCCTTTTCTACAAAAATATATTTTTTTTCTTACCCCAAACAATTATTAAATAACTAAACAATGCAATTCTTTCTGACAGTTTTCAGATAAATACAAAAAGTATAATTTTTAGTAGCCAAAGCTGTAGTCTATAGGTTGAAATTGCAGTAATAGCACAATGAAAATCAATGTACGAAATCAAGAAGTCGCGAAAAAATAACGAGGTCTGGTGACGGCAAGGAAAAAATTATAAGAAATTTTCCTTTTTGTAGGTTTCTTACTTTTGAGAATAGAATCAAAGAGCAATAATTATCGACAGAAGCTTACACCAAGCACACAGTAACTTACAAATTTATTCATCTGAAGGTTAAGTAACAGCAGAAAACAACAAAGCTAAGGAAAAATACAACAGTGATCGACGCCATACTCCGAATTTAAGGAAATTTGCGCCGATCTACATAGAAGAGACAGCCTCTTTTTAAGGAAATGCATATTACAACAGCATTAGTGAAGAAAGCTAAGTATAAGCAGTCTTATTAAGCATTGAACATTAGACATCTTTTTGGACGAAAAAGGAAAGAGGAAACTTTGCATAATCTTGTAGTTCGCCTTCGCAACAGTCCCCTTCCACATTTCCCAAATGTTCATTAAAATTAAGTATTTTGGAATATTTCTACCTTCTGATGCCGCTTAAACTTCTGAAAGCATTTTTAAGGATTAGGCAAAGGATATAGTTTGAAAGCGTATAAAGGCATATCTGTCATCAGTGAGAAACTGAACAATCAACGAATTGACTGAAGCGATTGGGCAGGCTGAAGTATATGTTAGTGAGTCAAAGAAGGCTGGCTGAAAAAACCAACCTGCAGCTAGCCAGATAGCAATTTTTCTTCCTTGAAGTTTTCGTATATTCAGCAAGTTTAGTGTTATGTTGTCCCAACTTTATTGATGGGTTTTTGATAAAATGCAAGAAAAAAATCATAAATTTATTGTTCATTCCCATTCTACCCTCTATTATGCAACTTAAATTGTCTGTAATTTTGGTTGTGTGATTTAGCAGTGGCAAAGCACAAATTCAGTTTCTATTACAGAGTTTACGGTTTGCAAATAATATGAAGTCGCTTCCATCCATATATTCCCACGTTATTCAAATATTTGTCGTTATGAAATTTCTCATCTGCATTGTTTTATTTTATAAAATTCAGCGACGGTTTTGTCTTGTTTTCTCCTCATGCCCAGTATAAGGCCTTTCTCATTAAAACTAGGAAATTACGGTCATCAAGAATATCCAGTCACTCAAAAACAAAGATGTCCAAAAAAAATTTAATGACTATGAACCATTTAGAAGCTGACGATACATCATTTTATTCGTATACAAATCAGTATTTACTGTAGAAGTTCACTGCAGTGCCCCACATCTCTGTCTTCATAGTTCCTGTTTTCGAGGAAAACTACATTTCCCTACAACTTTTCTATAGACCTCGGATTACTATAAACTGTTTCTTCTCAGCGAATTAAAAATCGTACTCAAAAAGGCGAATTACTAATTTGTAAAAAAGGAAGAGAAGCTCTAAGTTTGTGTTCACAATGAAAATATCATTTAATCGGCGAACGTACGGTTTTTGGCACGACTTCTGCCATTATAAGCAGCTGTATGTGGACTCTGTAACCAGTAGATTTCACGCGGAAATGGAGAGGCCTGTGCTAAGCACTTGATACAGTTGTTCACTGGGGCAGCAGAGTAGTAGTTATTTGCTTAAAACCCGTTGAGAGTTGCAGACATGTCCCTTTGAAGTGACACGTTTCGAGCATTCTTTGGGCGTGATGACATGGGAAAAAAAAGTGAAGTGGGAATCTCTCTGACTCTGGTGACTGAGAAATTTCCGTTCCTGATCCAATGTTCGCCGCTTTTACTGTGGCCATGTAAAAAGTTCTTTCGGTCGTATTTGGGACGTGTGTGCTGAAGGGGTGGCTCAGCTAATGGTTGCAGGACTGACTTGCAGATCTGTTCGGTTGTCTTTTTTTGAACGATTACGTCCGGCAACCTGCCCTTCCGTTTCCTATTATCTGATATTAGTTTTATGAAGGCTGTCTGAAACGTTACATTCATTTGAAGGACGTAGGTCGCTGGTACTGAAATCCAGGAGCACTTCACGAACTCACCCTCAAAATTTGATCAGTTCTATTGAGCCCATCGACCATGAATAGTGCTTTTCCGCATGAAGCCACTTTTAATTACCGAACTCCAAAATTAACAAATAAAGTGAACAAATGCTTTTTCAAAAAATCGTTTATTATAGAAGTTCAGCAGACACATCTGCCTTCAAGACTCTTCAACAAAAAAGAACACTGAAAAAAATGAAAAAGAAGCTCAACAAAAGGACATTCTAACAAAAGCAATCTTTTGGCTTCAAGTAACTAGGAGAGAAAAAGATATTAAGATATGGGTTCATTGAACAACAGTACAAATCTACAAAATAAGAAAATACCACATCTGTGCACTTAGTGCACTATGTAGGAATATTTTGAACTCTACTTTGAAAGAACTTCAATGATGTAGTTGTTAATATTTCTTGAAATAAAAATTTAAGCGTATGAGGAAAATGTTGATTTGAAATATGCCAAAAAAAAGAAAGCTGTAATGAAAAATACAAAAAATATTGGTTAAAATATCGGTCAGAAAATATGCAAGTTCGGCCCAGACAAGGGGTTAAGCAAAACACAGTCAAAAAAAAAAATCCTCATGATAATGTAGACTCCAAGACAAGGGAACATCAAAATGAGCTACTAAATTCAGCATAACTTTTAAAAAATGCCGAGTCTACGGGTAATTCAACATTCTACAAAGATAAGGCGCACTTTTTACAGATACTACATTGGAAACACGAAGTTTTTACGAATTCTTCTTATCCCTCGATGAAACAGGAGTAGAAGATCTGGATGACGAATATGTTTCCCCTGAAAAGTTTTATTTATAGCACTTCATCAATGTAAAAAGACTGCTCGCCTTAGTCAATACTCAGGCTTTGTAAAAATTCATTAACTAATTCACTTAAAAGTTATTACTTTCTCGACATTTCACTTCTATGGTCCTGGAAAAAGAACTGCTGATAATAAAGAGGCCAAAGCTACAGAAGTTTCTGAACCCATTAAACACATCACGGTGGAAAGGAAGTTTGAGGTCAAGAAATATTTTAAAAAAACGGCAAAGACATTTCGAACGTATATAACAAAGGATTAAATGTCACTCCTCGCAACTTTAGTGAAGTACGGTTACCAGGACAGGTACTCGAAGTTAGGAAAAAAAAACAGAAGAAGACATTTCAGTTCCATTTCCGAACCATGTTATTTGATCAAACTGTTAAAAGACCTGCTGGCTATTTTAAGTAGTAATACTGAAAAATGAAGAAAGCAGTTGACTAGACTTGATAAAAAAAACCCTTCCGAAATAAAAATCGAAACGATAATAGTGAACCATACATTTACTGCCGTAAATTACAAAAAGATCAAGCGCGACTGCCACAAATAGCATCAATTTGACAAAACTATGGTAAAAAAGAGCTCTTAAAACTTTATAAAAGTTAAAAAGCTGCGGTAAAATTAAGCAACTAATCAAGAAGAAATTATTTTTCCATCAGCTAGACGTAAACAAAATCACACTGGATAAATAAGCAAATTCAGCATTTCGTAATCCTCTCAAGAAGTGGCCAAAATTAAAAAAGCTTTACTGCCTTCACGGGTGTTACTACTAGTTATACAGCCCATTACCCTAAGCATAATCTGTTTATAATTTCAAAACCTATCTAGAAGTCAACTAGCAGTATTTTTGTTGTAACACCTCTCATGTCCTAACCGAGCAAAACATACCAGTCTCTCTTTCTGAAAAAATAATCTACCACATCTATTCCATCAGGCTCAAAAATACATACACAAAAACTCAAAATAAACAACTTTTATCAATAAACGACAATTCCGAAGACCAACCAGAATCTTTGCGCTTACGACGATTTGTTTTACGACCTATGGAAGCTCCAGGGGCAAGGAAATTTTGTTCACGTGCAACTTCTTCCTTTTTCCGCAAAAGATCACCGTAATCCTGAACTGGAAGAAAGAATTCCTCTTCATGTCTATTAAACGGAGGCTCATATTCATTCTGCTCTATCCTTTCCATGTTGTAAAGTTCGTCCAGCTTTGCCCTGATCTAAAAAAAGAAATTCAGACTGCCCAGTCAGTCGGCAGTATATAATTCACCATTAACAAATCCCTTACGCGTTCAAGAAATTTAAAAAACAGATGAGGCAAACGTGTTTTACAGCACTACTAGTAAACTTGAACAATAAAGAGAAACTAATTAAACCTGACTAGAAGTAGGCCTTATGCTATACCGAGGACTGAAGCGGAGGTAGCAAGGAGGGTCTCGCTCGCTAATATCTATCCCTTTACGTGCAACTATTTTGCCAAAATCTTCCTCACTTAACACGTCCTCGAAGTCCGTCTCTTCATTTTCATAAACATTATTCAACAAGTCGTTTAACTGACACATTTGCAGATGTCTTGTCCAGCCTAACAAGTACTGCCTTGAAGAGAGAAAATGATAGTTACTTCACTCAAAATATATATTTAGATCGTCCCAAAAGTTATCTGAGCCGCTGGTTTGACGCGAATTCTTGAAATTAGCACTTACATTAAAAACTCTATGCCTCGTATTCGTGTTTTTTGGTAAAAACGTACCACCTTTAGATTTTCTATGTAGGGAGAAATCTGTTACAGGAAGACGTTACTCAAATCCACTTCAACAGTTCTGCAAGAACCTCACGAGAAAAGATTCTTGGCTTTTCAATGCATATTGGTTCTCCTCAGTACTGCATTTCTCACGACCTTACAACTTTCGGCCATCTCTATTCAACCGTAAGAATGTATCGTGTTTTACCTCCCGCTCCTCAGCCCAAGTACTGCTTCTGCAGACTGATCGAGATTTGAAAATTTGAAACAATCTTCGCGGGAAAACCAACGCGTAAAAATGTGAAAATGACGACAGCAGCGTAATCTTTTAGTAAAAAAGGCACCAACAAAAACTTGAGCCATTTTCCGAAAAAAGTCGCCTGCTGCTGATGCAAAATTACCAGCGGTTTGTTGAGCACAAGAGGCTTATACAAAAACTCAAAATTGTTGCAGTCTGTGATAAAATTACCTCACTATGGGTTTGAGGACAGAAAACCTCCAGTTATTTCCAT